ACACACACACACACACACACACACACACACACACACACACACACACAGCTCCACCGCTACGCGAGATTGTCCTTCAGGAGATCCTCTCCTTTTAGCCACCAGCCACAGCTAATCGCGATTGAACGCAGCCGCGTCCAATCAGCCGCTGCAGCTGGCATCCGGGACAGAGGGTGGAACCCGAGAAGCCTGAGGGAAAACAGAGGGAGAGCACACACACACAAACACAACACAGCACGTAACAGCCAGTAATACGGACTGTATGCATCATCCACTTCATCAAAATGCCCTCACAGTGGTGTGTCTGTGTGCGTGGCCATTTTGGTAAATGTTTGATTTGGGAATTCTTCCCTCACAGAAACTAAAAACAAGCCCCTCACAGTGCTTTTCTGTGTGATCACTGATGTGGAATCCAGGGATCAGGCATGGGAGCGGAGCGGGAAGAGATGTTATAATCACCTCACTGGGCCTCTGTTGTGTTCAGCGAGGCTGATATTTCTCCCCTCATGAGTGCATATCCCATCATATTAAAACGCAGGTTGTGTGATCTGTTTGGTCTACACAACACATGTTCATCATGAGAACAACAGCAGGCCTCTCCCGAGAAATCCCCTGGTTACCATAGCAGCAGGTGGATCTGTTGAAGTGATGCTGCTACCCTTGGAAACGACCGCCTTGTGTGTGTGTGTGTGTGTGTGTGTGTGCTGGGATATACTGTACCAGGGGCTTAAAGCCGCGTAGGATTTACGAGCCTGTCGTTCACAATCAGTGCTTTTTCTCCCCCCTCAATCCACTGCAGGCGTGAAGTGAACCGTTGTGTCACTGGCATCACAAAGTTCAATTGCAGCATTGATAAGTGAGAGGGCAAACAGGGAAATCGATAAACGGCAGCGCATTCGACAAACAACACACAATGCGACCTTTGGCTGGGCGGGTAGATAAGTCCTTCCTCCCCCACCTTCCTCCCACTCTCCCTCTTTCTGTCTTTCCTTGTTTATGTGTGTCTGTTAGCCTCGGGAATAAAGACCGCCGTGTGAGCAATGTGGTTGGGGGGGGGGGGGGAGGGATCAGAGGGGCTTTTGGGGGGGTAAGGGGGGGGGTGCCCTGCCCGAGGAGGCCAAAGTAAAAGAGAAAGAATTGTGATGTAGGTGGAGTTAGAGTAGATCAGGGGGAGGGTGAGAAAAACTGAGTTTCAACATGTGCAGAGAAGTGTGAGTGAGGGCAGAGCTGCACAGAGACACACAGCTGTGACAGAGGAAGGAAGTGTGATAACCATGCTTGGGAAATGAGTGCGTGAATTATTCGTTGTTCCGTTCAGAGGCCTTTCCTGCGTCCGTGCACAGAAATGAACGGCGAGGGCAGCGAACAGCGTTATGTGTCGACCTTCAGGATGCACATCAGGCCGCCCCGAGCACCGTCTGCACCGGGGGCTGTTGGCACCAGAGGCAGATGTACTTACACAGGTACGGATAATAAGCTCTGTGTGAGACCCAAGGGTGTGTGTTGATGTTGTCAGGAGCTCCGCTGGTATAGCAGTCATCATGGTTTTAATGTTAGTGCTCGAGTAGGCAAGCCTGAACATGGTGATCTTTCCTCATAACATTTAAATTCACTGCATCAGAAAAAAATGTTGCTGGTTTGAAAACTTTTTTTTTAATTATTTCCAAAGAAACTGAGACCAAACACTAAGTTTGTTGCTTTTAGAGTTGATACCCGGTGTTATGTTTGATCTGATCGTTTATTGTATTTGGGCCCCTTTATTTTCACATCACACTGAACATCACTCTAGCTCTAAAAGCTTAGCAGCATACCGCCCGGCCTTTCTTTCTCATCCTTTCCAGTTTGAACAAATAGAAAACTTTTTGGTGGCTTTTGCCGTGAAACTGAAAGGGTTAGTTTGACGGATAGCTGCATGTCATTTAATGTCTGTTTAATAGAAATTGTTTCAATGTAAATTGTGACCCGGCAGACATCACACACACACACACACACACATCTGTCGATCAGATGACCATCTTGTGCAGTAGTCAAAACATCAGGAACAGATAAAAACTGTCTACTTGGCCACGGTGCTATAGTGATTTCAAAGTCTCATGTTGAGCTGCAGTACAAGGTTCTTACAGCAACCTGTAAGCTTTTGGTTCAGCTGAGTTTTCACTGACTTGCTATTAAAAGCTTTGAGGTCTGCTTAAAAAAACAAACAAAAAAAACCTGTTGAGTGTGTGAAGGGTGTGATAATCCACCTCTCAGTGCGTGCAGCTCAAAGTAGTAAACATCTGGCTTCACAGTGAATACTTGAGGATTGTAAATGCTGGCTAAAGGTTGATGGTAAAAACAGCCATTTAGTTAAACTATAGTAATCTGTAAATGGCTTTATTACACACAGTCAGGTCTGCTCCACTTCCACACAATGTGGAGTTAAGGCACTGTACTACACCCGACAGGCCTAATAGCAATAGTACTGGTGAAAATGTCTGCGTTAGGATTGCACGGAGGACAAGGAAAGTAGTGGCAGCACAGCAATCAAAGACAAGAGTCAGAGCAGCTGTTACCAGGGTCATCAATTACACAAACTCAAAGTCACACAAACAAAGCAGAAAATCTAGCTCAGTCAAGAGCCCCATTCCCAAACTAGAAACACCTAAACTATCTCCGCCCGGGCCGCTGTAGCCGAATTATCGGTTCCATCTGTATCCAAAACACTGGAGATCTTGGGGAGACTCCGCTCCTCTCTCAACATCTCACAAGATCAGCTTCCCTGATAAGGAGATCAGCTCCAGGTGTGTCTCTTTGGCTGGAATGTAGGTGCCTCTAATTGCCCTGCCCCTGGGCCCCTTACAGTGTTTTATGATTTATTCAAGCTTTACTGGATCAGGGGGCGTGGAGTTCCAGGGAATATCCAGCCCCGGGCTTCAAGCCAGCACCCAGCTCTCATATCAATAATGCATTTAAAAACAAGACAGAAAACAAAGGAACAAATAAAAAAACACGGCCCTCTTACCATGAATTATGTGTTTTATATTATGGAGGATTGATGTCATCGATGTGGTTTTCTGCGCAATGATGATCTGAATTCATGTGACATTTAAGAGAAAACAAAAAGAGGAAGTGGTGTGAGCTGTTAGGGTAGCCGGGAGGATGGAACATACTCGCATTCCATTTCATTTAGCACTTCTGGCAGGTGTTGCTTCTCATTTAAGACAAGGCCGAAGACATCAGTGTGAGGATACAGAAGTTTAGTGCGTGAATTAATTTAAAAACACGAGTTTGTGGTCAAACTTTCCATTGTAAATATATACTGAGGGCAGAAATAAACAGGGAGGTTTGCAGTCATGATAAGTCTATAAACCCTTGATATAAATGTGTTGCCCTTATTTCGTACATCTGACTTCTTGGGTCTTGGGTTTTGTTTAGTCGGTTTCCTTTTTTATTTTTGAATTTCCCTGCCTGTGTCCCTTGTTCACTTCACCTCCCGCCCCTGTGACCGCCTATCATGTATGTATCCCTCGTGTTTGTTTTCTAATCACCTTATCCTGTTTTGCCCGTTCCTCGTTTTGCTCGTTTTCCTCATTTTCCTTGGATTCTTATTGTTACACATTTTTTGGACTCCCCTGCTCTGCAAGTTTTTGTTTTGCACATTTTTTGTTAGTTTATTAAAATCACAGTCAAACATCCTTCTGCGTTTGGGTCCATCCCCTGCTACCATTATATGTCTAAACCCTGACCGACTTCTCACCTCTTTCCAGGGTCTGTTGACCTCTCCGCTGGTAAACGTGTGGATCCCCCCATCTTCGTAGAGCCACTGCAAGATGGTTGCGTGGACGAAGGAAACGATATTGCACTGCGGGGGGTTCTCACCGGAAGTCAGCCCATGAAAGTGTCGTGGTTGCACAATGGTAAGATGGGACAATTTACACCCATACAGAACATTAGATAAACAAAAGCAGCAAGAACTCGCATTTGGTTTTGAAACGGGTCCTTATCTCACCGATTAACCCTCTTGAACTCTTACATTTTGCCTTATGTACATTTTGCAAACTAAATCAACTCCTGGGGACATTTCTCCTGACTGTTCTGTTCGTGCTTGCCCCGACCCAATGACTCGTATATTCCTACTGTATGGTCATGTCACTTATACATCAAATGGCAACTTTCTAGTTGTCTTTTGCTTAATTGTCTACACATTTCATGGGTTTGACCAATGCCCGGCCAGACTGCGAGCATTTGTACCGACAGGGTTCGAGAGGTATCTGGCTTCTTCTGTCAGCCCTTCCTCTCTCCCCTGGCTGCTCTTTCTTGCACATGACACCGGCGGGAGAGAGAGAGAGAGTTTCTAGTTTGTTTGCTCCTATGGGCAGGTGAAGTGGCCCGTTTTGGGATTCCTTCCTTCAATGGCAGGGAGACCAGTTTTGTGGTGAGTGAGTGCTTGCCAGAAGACGCTGGCGCCTACACCTGTTTGGCGGAGAACAGCGCAGGAAAGACGTCCTGCTGCGCCGCTGTGTTCGTCAGAGGTGAGGGAGACACTGGGACACACTCGTCATAAGTTTGATTACAACAGAGTCTGCTGCTGGTTTCAAACTCTGCCTCTTGCAAGTTGTAATGCAATAGGAGTTTCATTTTGGATGCGTCTCTTCTCCTCTTCCTCTTTCTGCAACCGATCCAGACTTTGAAACTATCTGCGGCGTGCAGCATCGCGTCTTGAATGTCCCAACTTCTGCTTCCAAGAGCATTGTGGGGAATGGAAGGTCACCACAGTCTCCCAAAGGCGAGCTGCAGAAGTTCAAAGAATCTGTTTGTACTTCCCCAGCAGGCTCTAAGCTTAGCCCAGTCTCGACTCCAAGAGGTAATCAGATACTCATATCTCATATCGATACAAAGGATTTCATCATTCTTGATATTTTAGGAGTCGATGTAACAACACAATACAGAGCAGCTTCCTTCCTTCCCTATACACCAGGAAATATGTTGTATTTATACATAAATAGTTAACGCACCTTTTCCCGTCTGTGTCTGATTGGTTGTCGGGCAACATGTGAACCAATCAGGGATCGTGCAGGACTTCCATAACAGTGATACACCCACTAGAGGTTCTCGGTCCCAAGTGAACACCATGTAGGGAAGTGCACGGTGCACAGTACAGTAAAACTCTGTAAATTGATAGCCGTAGAACAGAAGAGCAGAGCCCCACCTCTATCCCACTAAAACCTACCTGCGCTTCACCTGTCTCCGCAGAAGTCATCCCAAAGAAGAGAGCCAACTCGGGGACAGGTGAGAACAACTTTTCTCCTCTGACAAATGTCAAAGCAATGCACCTGTCTTTCTGTTTTGTCATCATTCACTGCTATATTGTCCGACTTCTGCTTGTTCATTTGAATGCTATTTATTCATTAGAGTCAGTTTTTGTGTGTTTGAGCTGCATCTGGTGCTGCTGTGGTTTGACCTGGAGGAGCTACACCTTTTTTTTTGGCCTTTGTTCTTGATATAATGTTGTCTGGCTCTAAGCTATTGTGCTCCACTATACTGGGGAACTTTATACCTTAGGGTGTAGGCTGCAACAATAAAAGCATGAACAGCTTAATGTCTGAACTTCTGCTATGAGTGCACAGGATATGTAATACATGCTTTTTATGGTTTTGTGAATTAGATATAAGTGATGTCTAGAGCTTGAGAGGCAATCATTTAGAATGCCTTTTAAGAAGGTGAACAGTAAAGCCTTTTTAAAAAGTCAACTTTATCAGATTGTCTCTAGTCAAATTCCCCATCCTGATGCCACAGTATTTGAGTACTGATAGCTTGAGGGTTGATATTGACTGCAGCTCTCATATGGAATTTTCCATACTAATGTAAATGTATGGTAACTTTATATATCACAAGAATACAGTACAAATGTGTGTTTGTTCCTTTTTTTTAAGGACATTTGTCTAAGTAAATATATCTGAGTGTGAAACCCTTTGAACTGAAATGCAACATTGTTTAACGTTGTTTAACACACTTGAGTACACAAGAACTGGATGTACTTGTTTGAAGTAGGTCAACTATGTTTACTTGTGTTTACAGTTGAGACACTTGGTCTTCTGTACGCTACAATAATAAGGGCCTTCGGGGGAAGTGACAGACTTCCATTCTTGGCATACAGCACTAACCTCCGATTATGTAATCCCACAGCACTAATTCTGTCTTTATCTCACACTCACACACTGGACAGTTTCCTTTCCAGTCTAAAGGTTTCAGGCCTTAAACCGGACCGAGAGTCAAAACACTCAATTCTTTTTTTAAATTTAATTTGCAGGTGCAGCATTACATTTCGAAAACCCTCCACAGCACCTCGAGGTGAAGGTGGGACAAACTGCACGAGTGACGTGTTGTTTCACCGGCATTCCTCCTGTAGTGTCGTGTTGGATCAGACACAAAGAACAGGTGTCATTTTAAGCCGAATTTACAAAGTATGCACTTTCTGCAATCTCATCTTTATTTCTCTCCGTATTAACCTGTCTGTATGTCTCTCTCTCTCTCTCTGCAGATAGTGGATGGTCCAGAGCTGTGGGCAGAAAGCACTGATAGGAGCAGCACACTGGTCATAGCAGAGGCTAAACCACAGCACGCGGGCTGCTACGCTGTCGTAGTGAAGGACCGCAGGAGCTCAGCCGAGCACACGCTCACCATCTCTGTCATAGGTAAGGCAGCAACAACACACACTCTGCAGCATCTGGACCATGAAGCAAGTTTGCAGTTACTTGAGTTCGTCATTCATTATCATCCTACCCAGAGAGGCCTCAGCCTCCGGCCTCCTGTCCCGTGGTCTCCCTCGTATCCGCCAACAGCCTTGTGCTGTCCTGGTCCGGCCCCTGTTACGACGGCGGCAGCGCCATCCTGGGTTACGTGGTCGAGGTAAACAACCAAGGACGTGTTGGGTCTGGGGATTGGAGCGAGCTCACTGACCAGTGTAAGAGCACCTCATACAGAGTGCGCTCCGGGCTGCAGCCTCCTCGGGAATACTGTTTCAGAGTGAGGGCCTACAACATAGTAGGAGCAAGTGAGCCAGGACCAGTGTCGCCAGTGGTCAGGATGGAGGAGAAAGGTGAGGCAACATGGGTTTTTTAAAACCACAAAATCAGAGACAAATATAATGAGCCTTTATTTCATTTTTTTTGTAGCTGTAGAAAAACCCAAAGAGGCCCCGCAGGCGTATTCCTGTGTCACTATTGACTCTTCACAAAAAGTCACAGATCACTACAGTTTGCAGGAGAAACTGGGAATGTGAGTATCTGTCAGGAGCAAGCATGTTGTTCCAAGAAGCTTCAAAAAGCGGTTTCTTCAGAAACCGAGAGAAAATCTTCCTCCCATAGGTGTGGGTTGCATGTAAGACGGGCAGTCTGCCAAGTGTAAAAGAGGGAGGATTGAAATTCATGCAAGTAGAGACACAGTTCTGCTCAACAAACAACAGATGTACACCAACGCAGGTTTGACAACGCCAGCGACTTCAGTTAATAATGGCAACAAAAAAGAATGTTCTTCATCTGTTACTTTGACAGATGAAGGATTAGAATCACAGGTCTCGGATGAAAGATTGTTTTACATTTCTTTCTTGAAGTCTCAGAGATAAAAAAACCAAAAAAAAACAAAGCTTGTTTCTTCATTAGGGGAAAGTTCGGCCTGGTGTTCAAGCTCACCCACAAAGAGACGGGGTGTGTTCATGCAGGGAAGTTCTACAAAGGTCGACGTCCCAAGGAGCGGGAGGCTGCTCGTAAAGAGATAGAGTTGATGAACTACCTCCACCACCCAAAACTGGTTCAGTGTCTTGCAGCGTACGATCACAACCCTGAGATGGTCATGGTCATGGAGTTGTGAGTATCCGCATGGACGTGTTTGTGATCCTGCAGTTTCTGGTTGCATGCAAATAAATGTGATAACCATTTGAGGTCGCTGCGGCTTATCTGTCTGCAGTATCGCAGGCGGAGAACTGTTTGAGCGTATCGTGGACGACAGCTTTGAGCACACCGAGACGGCCTGCGTGAGCTACATGCATCAGATCCTGGAGGGGATCGCCTACATGCATCAGCAGAACATTGTCCATCTGGACCTCAAACCTGAAAACATTGTGTGCGTTGACACCACTGGCACCTCCGTAAAGATCATTGACTTCGGATTAGCCAGCAGGCTTGGTATGTGAAGTGAAACTCGCTTAATATTTACTTGTCATTTGTAGCGAATGTTCCAGGAGTAAATTAGGCGATTTTCTGTTTAACAGACGGCAACACGCCTCTCAAGGTGATGCATGGGACTCCAGAGTTTGTGGCGCCTGAAGTGATCAACTATGAGCCTGTGTTTTTGACCACTGACATGTGGAGCATAGGAGTCATCTGCTACATATTGTGAGTCTCACGGTCGCACCCATAGCTCTTTCTACATTAAAGGTGGATTTAGATTCCTTTGGACTGAAACAAGTTAGCTGTTTCCAGTCTTCGTGCTAAGCTAAACTAGCCTGCTGCTGGTGTTAGTGGTTTCATTCATATATAATTTATCGCACAGACATATGATTGGTTCTCATCTAACTCTTAGCAAAAAAAAAAAATGAATAAGTATATCTCCCAAAATGTAGCACTATTCATTTAAAGATTTTTATTTGTGTGTGTCAAGCACATCCAGTGTATTTGTTTTCCATCTAAATTGGAATAACTCCCAATAACTACTCCGAGAGACTTAAAGGGGGCCGTTCATATACAAATACATGTTTATTCCTGTTGTGCATCTTATCAGTCTGGACTGTTTTAGTTTTTGAGATATCTGTCATAGAGATGATCTGAAATATAACTAGTGTCTGAAATATAACTAGTGTCCCTATAACAGACTGATAGGACTGTGCTGGTGGTAATAGTCCGCCTGTTTGAATGTTGACTTTTAATGCCACCTAGTGGTTGTAGCTTGAAACGGTTAATATAATGACACTTCCGTCTCTCGTTCTCTGGTCTTCAGACTGAGTGGCGAGTCTCCATTCCAGGGTAACAATGACGCGGAGACCCTCACCCTGGTCACAGGTGCCCAGTGGGAGTTTGATGAGGAGAGCTTTGATGAGATTACTGATGAGGCCAAACATTTCATCAGCTCCCTGCTCAACAAAGACACCAGGTAATTTCATAAATGCACAGATGGCTCCAAAACACCATCTCTACTCAGGACCAACTATAACGCTCTGTGTTCCCCAGGCGGAGGATGTCCTGTGAGGAGGCACTTGCCCACTCTTGGATGGCATTGGAGTCTGGAGATCGCGCCGCCACCAGGACTCTGTCCAAGGAGAAGATGAAGAGGTTCTTAGCCAGGCAGAAGTGGAAGGTAACACCTCAAACTTTTATGTGTGTCTTTGAGTTTGAGGTGTTTTGTGCTTTGATACTTTTTTTCTTTTTTTTTTGTCACATAGAAAGCAGGTAAGGCCTTGTTAGCCCTGAAGAGAATGGCTCTGCTGTCGAAAGGTGACAGTTCTCCCTCTGGATCTCCGACCAGCCCTGGAGAAGGTAAGAAGCCAACTTTCTTCTATCATTTTCCTATCAGGACCTTTCTTAGTTTTCTGGTTTAATGTTGCTGTATAGGGTTTATTCCCCCTCTTTCATCTCCTGCCTCCTTCCTCCCTGTCCCAGACTCACCCCTGAGCCCAGAGGCAGAGCATGCCCTGCTGTCTTTGGAGCGCAAGATGCACGGGCCGCCCAACTTTACCCAGAGCCTGGAGGACCAGACAGTGAATCAGGGATCCAGTGCTCGCCTCTCGTGTCACCTCACAGGTACACACGACTTCACTCCGAATGTTACAATACTGTCATTTTACTGTTAAGCAATCAGGCCAAAAAGACTTTCATTTGGCCTCCCGACATGAACTTCCCCCAAAACCGTTTTGTTCTTCGTTAATTTTAAGAGGTTCTGCTTTACCTGCCCCCTCACCCCTCTATCTATCTTGGCAGGATACCCTGACCCAGAGGTTGTTTGGCTGTGTGGTGAAGAGCCCGTGGTGGAGTCCCCCACTGTGCAGATAGAGTACGAGGAAGATGGCTGCTGTGCTTTGGTCTTAGCCAAAGTTGACCAAGAGGACGCCAACGTTTACACATGTAGAGCCAACAATGACCACGGGGAGGCTTTCTGCTCAGCCAAACTCATGGTTCAAGCGTAGATCCATTAGATCTTCGTGTGCAGAGATAAAATTGATAAACATAGAGTTCTTGGGTGCCTTAAATAGTTGTATTGTACATTGTTGTTTTCATAAAAATGGGGATTAATGCATGCTTTACTGTGGCTAGAAATATATAATACATGTATTATTGTACAAAATGTATGAACAGATGAATATTGTTACAGAGCTAGTACTAGCATGTATAAAAGTTGATATTTCTATATGGGACAAAGGTATGGTTGTCTTAAACAACGCGTTGCAGAAAAATCCACAAATGTATCTCTTACTTTGGCTTGTGGGTGAATGATTTTAAAGCTTCCCTACAAATATTCCAGCTGGCAATATGAATGGACTGAGATATCTCTTATGAGGCGCAAATGGGCCTGAGATGACGCTGTTTGAATCACATCGTGAAGATCTGACTTGTGATTTCTGATGTAGCTTTTATTGGGTGAACTAAAGAAAGGTACACCTACATTTGTACAGCTATGGCGTTAATTTGAACATGCAATGCATTGGCGAAATGGGCATCCAAGTGTCTCTGGATCTTCCTTCTACTAGTTGGCAGAAACTTGGGACACAGGAGGCAATGAAACGATGTCTTGCTGAGATTTGGGGACTGTATTTCAAACTGGCCCCCGGTTGACGGGTGAATCTGTGAAACAGCAATAGATTTTGCAGTTACAATTTCAAGCCTTTTTTTTCATTTAATTGTATCAAAATGTTTCCTTCTCCTGAACAAAGATTTTTTTGGAATATATACCCATTTTCAAGGAAAATCATTTTTTTTAAATATGAAATTGGGATTTTTTTTTTGTTCTTAATTTATGAATGACATTTTCCCTCGCAAACAAATATGTTAATTACAGTCATCAACCGTTCTGTT